AGCACTGAGGTCCTCATCATAGTTATCAAATCCACCACAGTTACTTATGATATAAACCAAAGCGAAAAAGACTACGATAGGACCGAGCATTCCACCAAGGGTACCTGAAATAACAACACACTGAATAGCGGCAGCGCTCAGCTTCTTACTCATGAGAGGAACAACGGCCTTGCTCATAGGGGACAGCGAGCCGCCTGGTAACACTGCTACGACTACTTCAACCATAGCGATACCGAAGAAAAAACACATAAACACGTCGTTGAGGAGGAAGTTGAGAGTAACCTGAGCAATGCAGTAGACGCAATTCCCTCCCATTGTGAAGTACCGGTTCGCCAGCTATATGGGCACCACCGAGATCGAGCGTCCTCTCCTCATCATTTCCCCACAGGTAGACATAACTGTCCTCGTCAATGTTCGCCCAAAGGAGGCCAGCCACAACTCCGAGCTGTAGTGGTATGAAGTACGTTGTCACTATTCTACGAATGTACAGATACCAATGCCTCCACGTATTGAGAAACCTGCACCCAACAACAACAACAATCACTACCATCCTCCACAGCTCCAACAGCAGTCAAGTATTCCTACGTCACGTTATAACTATGACTTTTCGAATCGCACTCAACGACTGTGTTATGATATCGCAGTAACAAACAGCGGGGGGAAATATGCACATGCTAGGCTATGTGTTGGTACCCATGTGGAAATTCTGAGAAAATCTTGGGAATTCATTTTTGGGTTCTACCCGAATACGTACGAAAAATACTACAGTACGTGTGTAAACTCTTGAGCTCAGCTGAGAAAAGCGTACGTATATTCCCTTTGATGATAATCCTCGACAATTTTATTCGGCCTCGCCCCTCTACTACTTCCGAGGATTCTTCACTTCAGCAACGAGGGTCTGGTCATGGCCTCTGAAGAATCGATCGTGGGACTCCAGTGCTAGTTCTACCCTCAGACGAGTCGCCTCCGTTGCGAGGGCACCATCCGTCTCAGCACGCTTCACACTCTGGCAAGCAAGGTATACCCTACCATCTTGCCCAGCGATCATCACTTACATCTACGTATACATCACGAGGGATCCTAGTAGCGAGGCCTCTCTGACTCCGAATCCGTCCTTGGACGA